TTTATCCTTGGCCACCTTCATTACAGTAAACTCTCCTCCTTTGAGATATACACTATCCAAATTTGTCTTATCAACCAGTCCAGATCCTGGTTGCTGCTGTCTATACACTACCCTAACCCTGCCACACCCACCTGACAACCCTGTTCTTCATCTTTATTGTGATTTCTATTCCCTCTACACTTTAGTTCTTCTTATGTGCACTATCTATTTCCTTGCCCATTTGTTCTTGAATAGGAATCCTCCCCCTTTCTATTATAGCTTCTTGGATTTTGTTGTTATATAAAAAATATCGTTAATTTTCTGGGTTTATTTCATAACTTACAAATTTGCTAAAGTAGTTAATTTTCTTGATTAGTTTCTTAGCTAATTCCCTAGGATTTTCTAAGTAAACCATCATATCATCAGCAAATAAGAATAATTTTGTCTCTACTTTGCCTGTTTTTATTTCTTTAATTTCTTTCTCTTGTCTCACTGGTATTGCTAGCATTTCTGGAACTATATCAAATAATAGTAGAGAGAGAGGACATCCTTGCTTTATTCCTGTATTTATTGGGAAAGCTTCTAGTGTTTCCCCATTATATTTCTTGCTTTTGGTTTTAGAGAGATACTTTTTCTCATATTAAAAAATATTCCTCTATGTCTGTACTAAAAAGGGCTTTTTTGTTTTTAGTATGAATGAACGTTGCATTTTGTCAAATGATTTTTCTGAATCTATTGAGATCATCGTGTAGTTTTTGCATGTTATTGTTTTTCATATGATTAAATATGTTAATCATTATCCTAATGTTGAACCATCTTTGCATCTCTGGTATAAGTGCAACCTGATTATGATGAATGATTTCAGGGGATAAAGTGCTGCAATCTTTTTGTCCTGGTTTTATTTAAATCTATATTTTTTAATGATATTGATCTATAATTCTTTCATTCTTTATCCTTTACTAATTTAGGTATTAGGACTATATCTCATAAAAGGAGTTTGGCAAAATTCTCATTTTTGAGAACAATTTGCTAAGTATTATTTATTATGTTCCAATTGAAGAATGCCAGGACTCCTAAAACATGGTGGAGTGTTAGAATTGAATTGTACTTCTTTCTCCTCCCCCTTTTCCCTGGCCTTTTACAAAGCACCATCCTCTTTATAGGCAAAGGAGGCACTAGTTTATCACATCTTGTTATTGACTGCCTGGATAGGTGGAGTTTATGCCCTAGAATTGGAGGAGGAGAAGACTGAACTGAATCACACTTAGGAAGTTGTGCAGCCGTTCAATTTTCCCAAACTGCTCTCTGCCACAAAAGGACATTTTTTTTAAACACCATATTGTCTTCATGATGCTGTGTGCTTATGAATCATGGAATGCCATGATTTTGGATGGGTCAAAATTGCAGGTGGCCCAAAGAACAATGGAAAGATACATCATGATATAATTAAGCCACAGTCTAATATCACCTATGACTTATAAGAAGGTCAGATTTGGACTTGTATTTAGATGACCTAGATGTGAGTCCCAGTTCTGTCACTTAGAATATTTGATGTTTTGGGTGAATCAGTTCTTCCTGGGACTCAGTTTCCTCATCTACAAAATTAGAGGGTAAGACCAAATGATCCCTGGTATCCATTCTGGCATTCAAATTCTGTGGTTCTGTAGAATAAGGGGTGGGCCAGTCATTTAGCAAGTCTGAGGGATAACAGATGGACAGTCCCAAGAGCTGCACTGGTATCCATGAAATATTAAAGGGACAAGAGGAAGAACTCGAGCAAATTGTTTGGCTCTTCAGTGGAGAATTTGTGGAAGAATATAGACAAAAATAACACGGACTAAAAAGACATGGAAAAATTACAATTTGTACCAATAGAAGGGGGAAAAAAGAAAGGAAGGAAGCAAGCATTTATCTGCCAGGTACTGTGCTGAACACTTTACACATATTATTTCATTTGATCTTCACAACAACTTTAGGGGGTAAGTGCTATTATTATCCCCATTTTGCAGTTGAAGAAACAGGCAAACAGAGGTTAAGTGACTTTCCAAAGGTCACACAACTAATAAGTATCTCAGGCTAAATTTGAATTCAGGTTTTCCTGACTCCAGGCCCAATACTCTATCCATTATACCACCAGCTGCTTTTGGAGAGAGTATTCATGCTAATGATGTCATGGAGCCAACTAAGCATGGAAGTATGAAGTTTCAGGGCAGAGGTGAGAATAACCTCTCTCTTGAGCCTCACCTTTCCCTAAGGGACAGTATTTGCTGGATATTTGTTAGTGAATTCTACCAAATGTTATCTCAGTACTAAAAGTATGGAGGATAGTGGAGAATTAAGGGGGAAAGAGAAATGGAGAGATATAGCTCAAAGATATAGGAGCCTGGCAATAGGTTTGATCAGTCTGTTGAACATCTCACTAGAACATTAGGAAATCTGTCTATTTATCTCAAATAACCTTTACAGATAGGAGATTAAACTTGATTTTCTCAAAAGTCCCTTCTACCTGTGACATTCCTTTAAGGGCCCTCCCCATGTTCCAAGGTTCCTTCTAGCTCTTACATTTATACCATTTCCTAGCTAAAATTATATAAATGAAATGAAGACTCAAAATATTTTCATCTACATTCTTTCCCTAGCATAGCATGAAGGAATTTAGGTCCTAAATTTTATATACACACACATTATATATATATGAAACAGAGTAGTTCCTAACATTTAGAAACGTCCCAAAATTCTAGTGAACTTCCTCATTACACAATGAAATTCCCATCAGTGGAAGTGTTCAAGTAAAGATTGACCAATCACTTGTCAGGGATGTTACATGTTAATATCTCAGGTAAGGTTTATAGCAGATGGCCTCCAACTTTGAGATGGTGTGATTCAATGAAATAGTATCTTGACCTAGGGAAGAAACCTATTTTCTCCATTCTTTCTCATCACTTCTTGTGATGTTAGGGAAAATAGACTGATGCAATGCAAAGAGCACAAAACCTACAGAGAGTATTTTGATTTGAGTTATAACTCTGCCACCAACTTGCTGTGTGACATTTGCCAACTCGTGTCGTATCCCTGGGCCTCAATTTCCTTCTCAGTAAGTAGAGGGAGCTGATCTAGGTCATCTTTAGGCTTCTTTCTAGATCTAATATTCCATGTTCTAAGGCCCCTTCCCACTTTGAAATACTGGATTCTATGATGGTCAAAAAAAGTGGGAGAATTGAGCTTTCTAAGACCCTTTGGGTTAATGCAGTATTGTCTAATTGACAGTGAAGGGAGATTAACAGTAAAGAGTTTCTTTCAGCATGCTCAGTGTCTCAGATTCCTATCTATAGGTTCCTAGCCTGGTTGCATCATAACAAAAGATCCTTTAAATTCAAATGAGGTACTTTAAAAATATTATTTGACTAAATGAAGCTACAGCACTGCCAACTGGAATTCTGAAGGTTCAGTAACATTAACTGGACCTGTGTACAATTTAAACAGCTCAATAGGACCTAGTTATATTCCCATAGAAATATATGCCAAGTCTACTTATCATAGTATTTTTTAAAGTACTTCTGATTAGCTCCTATCAACCTAGTTAATTAAATTGTACATGGCCTTGGACACTTACTAGCCATGTGACCCAGGGCAAATCACTCAACTTCTGCCTCAGTTTCTTCAAATGTAAAATGGGGATAATAATAGTACCTACCTCACAGAACTATTGTGAGGATCAAATGAAATAATATTTGTAGAATGTTCAGCACAGTACCTGGCACCTAATAGGTGTTTAATAAGTATTTGTTCCCTTCCTCTCTCTGTAGAAATGTCTCTGGTTCCAATTGTTATTCTATGATTCTATTATAGTCTTTTATAGTTAATGCTCTAATAAGTAGATAAAATAACTGCTTTTTGTAGTTTACTAAAAGTGTTAGAATATAAGCTTATCTTCTATAAACTCACTGAAAACTTCAAGACAACTACAGTGGCAAATAGGAAAATGGTTGGGTACCTCATCCTGTTGAGCTCCTATGCTAGGTCTCTATTTTCTTTTAAGTTTTTTTATGCCATATAGCTCAGCATGAGTATTTAGCATGGTGACATCTATTAAAAACATTCTAATTTTATGTGGATCAATGTTATATGTAAGTGTTTGTAAGCTTCAGTCTCTGAGAATATTACAGAAGCAGTATAGTTTATTAGTTGAGTTTTTCAGGATTTTTTAAGGTCTGTATTCATAGTATGTGAAATGGTCATCTGTCCCTCCGTAAAAGATAAGCAAGCTTCTGGTGTGTGATTCTAACTAAATGTCTTACAAGCTATGTGAAAAGTGCTAAATATTTACAGTCTGAAATGATGTGTCACACAATTTCTAATGCTTCTTTGCATAATCTACATTGATCCCTAATTCCAGGCTCCTTAGAAATAACCCTTTTGTAATATTTGGTGCTGACGACTTACTCCTGGATTACCATCATAAACCTCTTCATTTCAATAAAGAAATTATCATCATTGTTATAGTTGTTGTTGGTGCTGCTACTTCTGTTACAACTAGTTATTTTTATTCTGAGTTTCCATTTCTAAGGCAGGCAAACTCTTTATAGGAATTGTGTGGTGTGGAAAGCATGCCAGACCTGAGAGTCAGCAGGCATACATTTAAGACCCAGCCCCTCCCCCGATTGGCCCCTGTGTCTTTGGGCAAATCATTTTATTTCTTGGAGTCTCAGGTTCCTCATCTATAAAATGGGAATAATCATCTTTGCCCTGCCTACCTCTCAGGGCTGTTGGGAGAGATTATGGATGTAAAGCATGTTACAACCATATAAAAGTGAGTAGTTTATGATAATTATGAGTGATAATAATTCCACCAGTTTTCAGGTAGTCCTGGGAGGGATACATTGCTTGGCCCTATTGGTTTCTATAGGAAAAGATGAATGCCTTGTTTAAATTTGCCCAACCTAATCTTTTTTCCCTGTGCTGAACATAAACAGAATTGAATGCTCTTGGTGTGTACTGATGGTTTCAGTTTCAACTTCCAGCTTCAAAGACCTTGTCCTCCTCGGCCTCCTCCTCCAAAGATACACCGCTGGGCACAGCCCGTGAGTAGCTGGCAGTTTTGCCCCCCTCGCCCTTACTTAACACTGTCTGAACTGCACTCTTTAACAGCATTCATTACTAAGCCTGGGCAGTTTGGATTTGCCAATCAGTTCCTTCCTCTGTGTGGCACAACCTAAAACTTGCATTTCAGTTCTCTCCTCTCTCTCTCTCTCTCTTTTTCTTGACAAGTTCTGCAAGGCAGATGAGAAGGTGGCTGGGCTGCTGTGTGTGCTGTGTTTTCTTGGCATTGGTTTTGTTTTGATCAGATCCTGGGAGTGGTATAGAGGCAAGAACCCTGGATGTGGAGTGGGAGACACAATCCCAGTTTTGACATTCAGTAGATATATAGGCCTGGGCAAGGCATTGGACTTCTCTGACTCAGTATCCTCCTCTGTAAAATGAATGGGTTGGTAAAAGGGTAATATGATACAATAAAAAGAGCACCAGATGTAGAGTCAAAAGACCTAGGTTTATATCTCAGCTCTGCCTGCTTACTAGCCTTATAACCTTGAACAAGTCACTTCCCCTCTATGTGCCTCAGTTTCCTCCTTTGTAAAATGAGGAATGGGGGAAAAGTTGGACTAGATAGTCTCCAAGATTTGTTTTCAAGTCATGTGATTCCCTGACCAAATGTTCTCTCAGATCCCTTACAGCTCTAAATGGGGACATCATGGGATAGTAGGAAAAGAGCTCAACTTGGAGTCAGGATATCTGGGTTCAGCTTCCAATTTACAATTCAAACTCTGTGCCTCAGTTTCCTTGACTATAAAATAGGGATAGTAACACCTAACTACCTACATTATGGACTGTTCTGAAGAAAGTGCATTGTAAACTTTAGAGTGCTAGACAAGTATGAGTTGTCATCGTTATTAAATCCTATGATGTTTTAGCACATGAGCTTTAAAGCCATATATGAAAAGACCTAATTTTACAAAAGAAGCAAGAGTCTGGCAGCAGAGTCCACAATTTCTCCAGATACTGGTTTGGAAATATATTCAATGCCTTCTGTTTTGGAAGTAAGCTCCATCCAGAGACTATCAAGCCTGCTCAAGTGGAGGCAGGTGTTTCTTTGCCTTTAGAAGCAGTGCAGAAGTAGAGTGAGCTTCATTTAAAATGCGAGACAAAGAGCAGGGACCTGTTATAAGAGTTATCTGGGATGAATTTGGGGCAATAAGTTATTTGTAGGGGAGGAAACCATTCACTATGACCTACGTTAATAACCTATATCTGTTTCAGGGAGGGAGGGAGTTGTTTTGGAACTCAAAATTTTTTTTGAAAACTATTTAAAATTTGCTTTGACATGTAATTGGGGGAAAATAAAATGTTATATATATTAAAAAATTATAACCTACATTAGTCATTAAAATGTTAGCTAGAACCAGAGAACAGAGTTGGAAGAGATCTTAGAATACATAATGGTATATCTGGACAGGATCTTGGACTATGGAGTGCTAAAACATAGGACACAGAATGTCAAAATAGAATCTTAAACCCCTCCTTGGAGATCATCTAATCCAGTTCTTTTCCCATTGCATGGGTGTGGGTGTGTTGGGGGGGGGGGGGCAGGGCGGTGAATTGATTGCTAGCTTCCTAGTGATTAAAAATTTCCAAATCCAGACTCTAGAACTAGTGAAAGCTATGGAGACTGTGTTATGGCAGGGGATCTGGTTCATTGGCATTGCCTCATTTTTAATCATTGGTGCATGTCACTCTGTCTCTTTAACGTTCCCCTTTTCCAGTTTGGGTGTTCCATTATCTGTGATGTAGGTGTCAGTTTCTTTTCTGTTCACAGTGTATGTATGTGTACCTGTTAGTGAATATATACATTTTTATAATTGTACTGTGTGGGGTGATGCTGGGTTGAATATGATGGAATTATAGATTACCTTCAACTAACTGGACACTAATCAGCTTTGGAAAGTACATCAAAATGCTTGGGTTTGTAGCCTATCAATGTTAGTTATTGCCCAATGTGGCTGTTACGTTCTCCTGGTTCAGCTCACTTCACTCAGCATCAGACCATACAAGTCTTTCCAGGTTTTTCTGAAGTCAGCCTGTTCGTCATTTCTTATAGCACAATAGTATTCCATTACACTCATATACCACAACTTGCTCAGCCATTCCCCAATTGATGGGCATCCTCTCCATTTCCAATTCTTTGCCACCACAAAAAGAGCTGCTATGAATATTTTTGTACATGTGGGTCCTTTTCCCATTTGTATGATCTCTTTGGGATATAGCCCTAGAAGTGCTATTACTGGGTCAAAGAGTATGCACATTTTTATAGCCCTTTGGGCATAGTTCCAAACTGCTCTCCAAAATGGTTAGATCATTTCACGACTCCACCAGCAATGCATTAGTGTTCCAATTTTCCCACATCTTCTCCAACATTTATCATTTTCCTGTTTTATCATGTTGGCCAATCTGCTAGGTGTGATGTGGTAGCTCAGAGTTGTTTTGATTTGCATTTCTCTAATCAAAAGTGATTTAGAGCATTTTTTCATATGACTATAGATTTTGCCCCCTATTTTTAAAAAGCATTAGTATGGTGGAATGAAAAGAGCCAGATTTAGAGCTAGAAGGAACCTGGAAGATTGGCTTATCCAGTCCTTTCATTTTACAGATGAGGAAATTGAGGGCCCTACAAGGTTAAGTGACTTGCCTAGGGTCATACAACTGGTCAGGATTCAAACCCAGGTGCCCTAACTCCAAATTCAGTGTTCTGAAACTTGGATTCAAATCCTGGCTCTGACACTTCTAGCTCTGTAACACTGGAAATTCACTTAACTCCCATGAGCCTCAGTTTCCTCATCCATAAGTCAGAATAACAATTATCTTGTACTCCCTACTTCACAGGCTGGTTGTGAGGGAAGTCTTTTGTAAATCTTAAGCATTCTGTAAATGTTTATTATTATTGAAAATACCTTAATAAAGATAGTAGCAATAAATAATAATAAACTTCATTCAGAGCACTAAAGGACTAAACCTTTTGCCAACTTTTGTAAACCATAGTTATCCAATGAGTGGCCCTTTGGAATTTTACTCATTGAGGTCTTTGTTAGTATAATCCCTTTAATAATCCTGGAGGTATGGAGGAGGGACAGAGAGGCATCTCTGGGCAATGCGATTCAGTTGTTTCCATTTGAATCAAAGCAAATCTTGCTAGCTCTATTTAATCTTTCAGCTGCAGTACATTACAGCTGTTGGTATGATCTGTTCATGTCAACTGTTTCTGCTCCCTCTGTGATTGATAACAGGTTAGGAGAGTAAACATTGCCGTAAGAAAAGCACCAGTTGTATTTCAACTGCCTACATTAAAGTGCTAGTGGAACAGTGGATTCTACAGGAGCAAACTGAGATGATTAGAACACGCTTCTGATGCCAAAATGCGCTTCTGTTTACATTGAACCTTATTTGGAATTTATTTGTTCTGTCATTTCTCTCCCATCCCACATGCCCTTTCATCCCAGTGGGCAGTGTAGGCTGCACTTGATGGTGTGACCTTGGGCAAGTCACAGTCTGGACCTTACTTTTCTCATCTTTAAAATGAAGAGTTTGGACTAGGTGGTGTCTTAAGGCTGCTTCTAGTTCTAACAATGGGGCAATGGCCCAAAGTTGGATGAAGCAAGAGATGTGTGTGTAACTTGGGTCCCCAAAGCTCCCAGAACAGAATCAGTCATCCTAGGAACCCTCATTCTTTGTGACTTAAATGGAAGAGTGAATTTATGAGAATCTTGGTAATGGAAACCCTAGGGGTTGCAAACAGGGCTGCACATATTCCTTTGTCAAAGCTCCAAAGCTGCCACGTCCATAGCTGCTATTGTAGAAATGAGATAGAAAGAAATGGGGACCCATAAGAACCTTACAACTGGAGGAAACCTTTGTGATCATTATGGCCACCCCCCTCATTTTACAGATGAGAAAACTGAGACTACAGAAGGAAAATGCTTTTCCCAGGTCAAACAGGAAGTGATAGAGGTAGGAACTGAGCCCAACCCAAGGTCTCCCCACCCAATATTATTTACACAAGACCATGTCATCTTCCTTCCTTGAACTTGTGGATGACTTTGCTTTCACCAAATATTGAGGGTGAAAGTTTTACCCAGCAAGGCTCATTATATAACAAGCCCCTTTGGTAGGAAGGGCTGGATCCACAGCCTGGGGGGTTGAGGGGGGCCAGCTTTGTACCAAATCACCTATGGCTGGAGTTCAAATGTTACCAGGATATTTGGATTTTCTTTATTTAAAAAAAGAAGAAGAAAAAAAAAGCATTGAAAATGTCATCTGTACTAAAGGCTAGTGGGGGTTGGGGGGGGGGGAAGGCTGACTCTCTCCTGACTGCATGTGAAGCTCTTTATAAGCTTCGTATTTATTATTTCTCTCCCCCTCTCTCCCCATTAAAATCAAATGTACTCGGCGCTTTTGTATTCAATACACATTTAACCCTGCCGACTTAGATTTCTCAGGTTTTAAATCCAGTGGGGAATTGGCTAGTTTCCCAACTTTCCCCTGAAGTCCCCCTTGAACAGGGCTCTAAATCCTTCTTAGCATTTTCTCCCCGACACTGCTGGTCTCAGAACACTGGTGGGGCCATACGTGTGTGTGTGTGTGTGTGTGTGTGTGTGTGTGTGTGTGTGTGTGTGTGTGTTTTCCCCCAACCCCCCCCCCAAAAAAAGAAAGCATAACCAGAAAGGTGAAAGTGTTCACAGCAGGCTGACAAACCAGCTTTGCGCATCATCTTCCTATTGCAGCTTAATTAAACACTTTTCCTCTGTATGCATCTCCCTCTGTGTCTGTCTCTCCTCTCTGTGTCTGTCTCTCTCCCACTCACCTCTCTCCATTCTCTGCCCCTTAATTTCTCTCTCCCTTTCCCTTTTTCCTTTTTCCTCAGTCTCTTTTTTCTCTTTCTTCCCCTTTGTGCCCCTCTCTCCATTTCATCTTCATCTCTCCTTCCTTTCCTTTCCCTTTCTATCCCCTCCCACTTCCCCCTTCCACTCTGTGT